TCGTCATCATTATCATTGTTATTATTATCATTATTACTATTAGTCTGTCTCTTATACACATCTAGATGTGTATAAGAGACAGGTGTATACTAAGAAGTTCAAATGGGAAACTAATTTTCCGTACCATATGACATACCACGATGTTCAATCATCATTAATCAATGTGTTTGAATCAATATTAGGCCTACAGGAAAATAATTTGTTAATAAAACATTGTTAAATAAACATTGTTCATTTTGTAGGATGCTTGAATACCATACAAAATTAGGGAATATCATATGAGTGAGTAGTGTATGTGTGTAAACTTGTCTCTTTCTTATCTGTGCCTGGGATAGCCAGCTAAGTTCTGGTCCCAGCAACTGAGGTAGGCTGCAGGCTTATATGGCGCCTAAGCCTGCCAAGGCCTAGATATAGCCTACACAGTGGCTGTAGGCCTATCTAACCTAGGCCTAAACTCACGATACGATATTTTCAGCTATTGTATGATATTCCTCTCATGAATTAAATTTAGGCTTTTTGAGATTCGCGAAAGTTTAATGTCGCGAAAACGGCCGAAATTATCAATTCGCGAAAGTTTCTGGTTTACAGTATCTATTTAAGCTAGGCCTATGTATGAAGATACAGTATATGTAAAAATATCAATTTGTTTTACAGCTCATAGTTGATTCTGAAAACTGTTTAAAAAAAAATGATGCAGAGAAATGCCATCAAATGGGCTTAAAAAACTCTAATACCCTGGAGCGCAATGGCGCTTCGCCCCCTTGACCCCCGACCAGGGCTTTGCCCCTGGACCCCGATGGGGGCCTAGGGACCCCGAGGGGGGCCTAGGCGCCCCCCCCCCCTATACCCCCGGCCAGGGACGTAGCCAGGATTTTAAAAGGAGGGGGAGCCGTTATGCAAATTACGTAGGACCCGGGCGGGGTCAAGGAGGCGAATCCCCCTGTGAAGTAGCGCACTCTGAACGTTCTTAGGACTGTTTGAGAGGATAAATTGAAAATTGCAATAGACGTATTATAAATAAGCGCAAAAATAATTATATAATAAATCAACAGTGGCAGATCCAGGAATTCGAAAGAGAGGTGAACCAGGGAGGGACTTTCACAAACCGAGTAACCACCCAGCCCCACCATGGTTGGGGCTGAGGTAAGAAAATTTATTACTAGGGCATCTCTAGATGGCCGGAAATTACACTCTCGCACTTCAATTTGAATATATTTTTCTTCTTTATTTTTCCTTAAAAAATGAAGGGGGGGGGGGGCTTAAATCCACCTCTGCTCAAAACATTCTTTATCCACTGCCAGAATAGTCATAATCACGAAAAATGTACATGAGAAACCAGATAACATTCTAAAAACAAACAGCAGTCAAAGACATACATCAGGAGCCGATTCGATGGAGTTCAATGTCATACCCAGGGAAGGGCACAGACCTGTTTTGAAAGGTGGAGGGGAGGGCATTTTGTGAGTCGACACCCACCTCAGCCCCACAATGGTTGGAGCTGAGGTGAGAAAATAGTACCTCTAGATGGCCAGAAATGACACTTTTAGTAAAATTCATCATCATCACATCACCATTAGTCAAAAATGAAGTGCCAAAAAAAATTCTCATGATCTGTTATCAGGGATTTTTGACAACCATAGAGATCTTAATAATGTGTGTGTGTGTATACCATAGAAAACAACGCTTAAAAACATTGTCTTTGAGTATGTACGTTACATAGGCCTACTTCAAAAACGCGATTTCACAACCACCTCAGCCCCACCATGGCTGGGGCTGAGGTGAGAAAATTTGAGGAAATGGTACCTCTCGAGATGGCCGGAAATGACACTTTTACATAGTAAAATTCATCATCATCACATTACCATTATAGTCAAAATTAAGTGCCAAAAAAATTCTCATGATCTTTTATCAGGGATTTTTGACAACCATAGAGATCTTATTAATGTGTGTGTGTGTATAACATAGAAAACAAAGCTTAAAAACATTGTCTTTGAGTATGTACGTTACATAGGCCTACTTCAAAAACGTGATTTCACAACCACCTCAGCCCCACCATGGCTGGGGCTGAGGTGAGAAAATTTGAGGAAATGGTACCTCTCGAGATGGCCGGAAATGAACTTTTACATAGTAAAATTCATCATCATCACATTACCATTATAGTAAAAATGAAACGCCAACAAATTTCTCATGATCTTTTATCAGGGATCTACTTAATATCCAGGATAACTTAGGCCTAATTATAGCTTACTAAGCTTTAACTATATATACTATAGTATGATCAACAAATCACAACTTTTTTTTTCGCATTTAGCACAATTTTCTTCACTTTTTATTGCTATTAATATTATAATCAGTTATTACTCTCGTCATCATTATCATTGTTATTATTATCATTATTACTATTAGTAGTAGTATAATAAACAAACATTAAAAGAAACTTACAAAAGGATAAAAACGAAATTGAACCACAGTATCGCATTTCTATCTTTAGACCTGGCCTGAGATTTATGGATTTAAGATTTTTTTAATCACGCTTAGGCCTATGTGTTCTATTAGGTCTATGGAGAACGTGTACTGATGCATATTTACATGTTTAGAAGTATTCATTTTGAGTGATCCCAGGAAAGAATTTGTATTGGCTCAAGAATAATCTTTAAAATTTTAACACTGTGTACAAAGGGGGGAGCCCCGGCCTATTTCAATTTACTCTCCTGTTACTTTCAAATTTCTCCTGCTACTCAAATTCATAAATAAACCCCTGAATAACAAATTTTTTTTCATTTTTTTCCCACAAGACTCATTTTGTCACGACAGTTCATAAATATTATTCTCATTACAACAAGAAGGCCTCCTAGACTTTCAATGATTTTTATAAACATGGTGGTTGACTCATACTCGGGATCCTTAATAATCCCTGTACGTTCCTTCATCTTTTTTACAAGATTCAGTGCATTTTCTGTGTCTCCTTCAGTAAGTAACACTCTGGCTTTAATATAAAGAACAAGTATGATTGGATGACAATAAAGATTCAATTTACGGGAACATCTGACAAGATATAGCAATATGTCGTCAACAGCCCATCCACTAAACAGGCTTGCTAATGTGTAAAGTGAATCTATCTGTACAATCATTAGAGCAGCAAGTCTACAGTTTTTTTCTATGCGACAAAAATCATAAAGTATAGAATCACACATCTGCTTCAATTCTTTGTAGTTCCCCATTATATAATGGTATTTTACTACAAGAACTTGACCACCTATGCTATGGTCACTGCAATTGTCTGGAAAAATCATTTTAGTGCCTAATTTATAGTAATGTAAAGGAGAATTCTGATTCACAGCTACAGCTACATCATACATAATGCGTCCAGTGTTTCTTAAGTATACCAATAAATGAGTATAAATATCGCCTAAGTATCTATACAAACTTGTTTTGAACATTTCCCCATACCCCTTTGGTACTATTTCTTCAATATTCTTTACAATTGGTAGTATGATTTTCTCTGGAACACTGAAAGCATGAAAAGGATTCCATTGAACACGCTCTAAAAGATGATCGGTAAATACAGCAGGGTTGTATATAGCCAATTTTGTCATTTCCGAATTCACTGTTAAGCAATACTCAGTGCATAAATTTAAGCATTTATCTTGAAGGAGTGCTATAGCCTCTGCCGGGTGGTTGTTTAAGAGTAGAGTTTCCAGTGTTGAGTAGTCATCATAACAGACACTTAACACTTTTGTCCAAAGATTTCTTTTAATTTCAGTCAATGTTTCTCTTACATTGTCACAATATTCCCTCGAGAGATGACCAATCAAATTGTGTTGAGGAATAAAGTAATGAGGCAAGTGTTTGTGTTGATAGCAGTCAACAAGCCATTCTAGAACTTTTGTAATTAAATCCATGACACTGTAATCTATGTGTGGAAATGTTTCACACATCCACAAGCAAGCAGTCTTTAAGAAATACGAGCAGAATAATGTTGGTTTATCAGAATCACTGTATAAATATTTCTTTTTTATTGACTTCAGGGCAAACATGCATTCATGATATGGTTCATGCATTTCAGTAATGAGCTCTCTTTCAGCTATAGAAAATGACAATCTCCATTCAATATCAAATGACTCGCTGCCTGGGTATCCAACAGGAACTACATGACATTCTAGACCTCTGACCTTGTCTAACAATTTCTGCGAGGGCCAGTTGTTCAGCCTCTCTCTAGTAAAAAAATTGCAAGTGAAAGGAGGCCATGATTGACATTTTAAGCAAAGTACTGAGTCTGTGGGACATGTTTTAACATCCACAAATTTAGAAATTGACATTTCTGTTATTGAGGGACCTTTTCTCACCTTAACATAATCTTTCACATTATAAAAAGGGTTATTCGAATAAATTTTCATGAAATTGCTAGTTTTCAAATATCCATCTTTATTAATAACACTTTGGAAATCTTCATCCAGACACGTTTTGTCAAATACCTTAAGCCTTAAATACACAGGATGCTTGGAGTCTTGCTCAGCCATTACATGTGTACTCATTTCTTTTTCTTGGAATTTCCACATAATTATTGGAAATGCTAAGTTGCATATCATCAAGTCTATATCATCTATTGCTGAATAAGGAAAGCCTTCTTGTGTACTTCCAACAGCGTACAGGTGCCATTGCCAGTTTAGAAATATATGTGCTTGTTTAAGCATTTCATTCATAATCCTACAATGAGAAATTCTAGCCAATTTTCCAATCAATCTTAGTCTAATGATTTCATGGGCAAATCCATCCATTTCTCGAAGTGTCTTATTAAGGTCTGTCATGGTTGAATTTCACTTGCCTTCATGAGGTTAACAAACAGTGCACAATATCCTATCTCAGTACGGCATGTCTATAAGCAACAGACACCAATGGTTTTATACAGAGTAGGTCTATGTTAGTTGACGTTTGTCATTGATATGCAAATAACATTTTTCCCTGTAGTGAAATTTCTTACCATGTGAAAAGGTACAGGTGTTATAATAACAGCATACGCCCAGTGCAAATGAATAGTTTGGCATGGCAGAGTTTTTAAAAACAGGATCACACAATCTATTTTTAGTTCCTGTTTAGCAGGGTTATTGTGATCAGTTGCAATTGAATACATTTGAATGAACTGATATCAACAATAAAACTCACTGAGTTTGTGTTTTTAGTATTTTATCCAAATAAAATCTCCCTCTGCATTTTTTTTTTTTTAGTAATAGTGATGAAATAATAAATATTTGAAAAGTATGCTGTTAATTTGTTGTCTTTGGTTAGATTCGGACGTAAACTCAATTACATGGGTAATCTACTAATAACCTCGGGGCTAAACGTGACGGTCGTTCGGACGAGTAAAATAACAATCCATTTACCCATTAATTTGACGGAAGTTACATATTTTACAAGCTTCTGCAAGGTCAGAATTGTGAATAGTTCGTGACCTGAGTGACGACCCCGTGTCAAATTAGCAATGTTTCAATACTTCATACACGAATTTACGCTATTTCTGCTTACTTTTTATACAATTTACTCATTTCCTTGTGATTATCCTTACAAATTGACGCCGAATTATGATTAACCCAGCCGACCTAACTATCCTGACAACTTTTATATTGCTTCTCGACGACGAATTTGATCTAAACCAAGCTTTTCGACGAAGAAAGTACAGCAACGACGAAGACAACGACCAGCGTGGAAAGAAAGCTTGGGTTGGGCAACAACGCGAAGAACCATGCAGCATGGTCGCGAGCTTCTTTTTGTCCAGTGCACACTGATCCGGCGTTGTTTACAAATCTGAAGGGTCAACTCGTGACCTGGGCCTTGTTACGAGTGATTAATTACGCCTTGAGGCAAGGTGTAATTGAAATATCCAGTAAAAAAGGTGGGTTTTTGGGCCAGATGTTTTTCTAATTTTCTATACCCAGGGGCATTATTTAATTGCCGCACGCGACCGCTCAGCTGGTGGTACCCAGTTAAATTTTACTCGTCCGAATCGGCCCTTTGGCCTACCCCTTTTGGTGAATACTGAGGTTGATAGGTCGTGTTTTTTGCCTTATGACATTGTGTCAGAGCTGCTGTTGAAGAAGGTATTTGTCCAAAATCATATGGGCTGCATTAACTTGGGGCCGAGTTGACCCGAATTCAAGGTTTTATACCCTACAGTAGGAGCCAGACCAGGTTTTGTATGCACTTTGAGGTGCAGAGAATTTGACTTAAGAAATTGGTTCAGAGTGGTTCAAGAATCTTTTTTGGCTTGGTAACACATTTTCGTGTTTGGATGTGTGGCAAAAAGTCAGGGTCAAAGGTCAAAGCTATAAAGTCCTTGTATCTCTGCAACCATAGGTGTTACAGAGTTGAATTTGATGCCTTGTTCTGAACATGCATATGTATAACCGATCATCCATTCATTAAACACTTGAAATAAAACATTTAAATATAATCTTCAATAACTTCTCAATATACAACAATTTATTAGACTACATTTAGTGGCAGCCTTTCACTTAAAAATTGTCATATGACAACTTTTATACTCTATGACTTATTAAACGCATACTCAAATTTTTATTTCTTGTTGTATAGATAGTATATTTTTAAATGTTTTTTATTATATATTTGCCCGTATGTTTAACAATTTTACTGTTTTATAACTTTTTAATTGTTATATGTCTATGTATTTTGAATGTAAATTTGGCGCAATTCAGTTTATTCTGCAATGCCATTTTATTTTGAATAAACCAGATTTGAATTGAATTGAATTTTAATAATACTGTAGCTTTCTACTATATAAGGTTTATTTAATGTAATTTAAGATCATATACCCTGGGAAGAACAGTACTGAGTATCCAGAATAAAGAAAGATTTCTATCTATCTACAACAGGGTAAAACTAAAACTATTAGTGTCTATTATCCCCATGATGACAGTAGACACTTTTTTATGCCTCTGTTAGAGGCTTGTAACACAGTAGGGTGTAATCCAAAACCTCCCTCCAGTGGCAGAATGGAAAATTGGACATTTATTTAGATCCAGAGGTGACGGAACTAGGGGGTGCTGCGTTATGGAGAGTAATGTGTGACTGGAAATGGTCTGCAGTCAGTTGGTTGTTATGCCAGTGATGTTGGAGTACAGTACAACAAGAAGAAACATGTTTTCCTATAATGCATGAATAACATTCGGGGTTTGTCGGGTAGTGAAATGATTATTGTACATTTTAAGTGCTCCCTCCATACATAAGGGTAAAGCTAAATTATGGTGATTAATTAGCAAAGATATGGAGAAAATTATTTCGAAGTTCCCTCTTTCCAAGAAGGGATGCAAGTGCTTAGTGAAAATGAGTACACCGCGGTACTCATTTTCACAAAGAAATACACACAACTGGTTAGCTAACAATATGCAAATGTTACATGAACACCTGGGAAGGAAGGTGCAATTACGTTCTGTTGCCTAGCAAACGTCTGTACTGTATGGGGTGGGGGATACTGATGTACAGTGTAGCAGGGGACGATGAGGCATACAGTAGATCAGGCCTAGGCCTAGGCATAACTAAATAGACTGTGCAAACATGTGATAGAGGTACCTTGTTTAAGTATTATACAATGCTAACAATATGGCTCTTGTAGCCCTAGGCAAGGAATCCATATGCCAAGCAGTGGTGTTTATTTATCCAAGAAAAAAGCATGCCGGGAAAGTTTGCCTTACCAGAAAAAGGTGACATAATTTAGCTTCTGACGTATGAATGCTAACTATATTGTGAGTGTGACGTCACCAGAAAATGAATATTTTCTATTGTACCAAAATATTAATAACTACATGGTTTGTGGGCGTAAATTCCTTTAATATGAATTAAGGGTTGCACAATCTCCTTGCCATACAAATTACAGCTCCCACTGACGTCTCAGTTGCGAAATACGGGTAGCTGAAGTTTTTCTCGCAAATCTGACTACAAAACCATATCAAAATTTCACGTTCCCCTCCAGACACTGAGTTGTGCTTCGCACTCGATTCTGAGGGCGGCGTTCCAGGAACACTGCGTCTAGTTCTCTAACTGTCTAGTTTATGAAACTTGTTTTCTCCATTTTCAATAAACTTTTTTTCATTGAGAGTCCTGTATTGTTGAAACAGAATTCCAGCCCAGGTCTCCATATAAAGTTTCTTTAATACAAATTGAGAATTTCCCTTTGTCATTTCGGTAATAATTTTATTAGCCTTCCCAAATAACTACATCCCTGGGTGCTTATATTATTTTTAGAAGCTTTAGTGCGGCGCTTATTCAAGAGCTGCACTTTAAAAAAGAATATTTGTGTTCTGCTTTCCCTGCCCGTTCTTGCCCCATGTTACCTATCTCATGTATTCCCGTAGTTTGTTAGGCTTAATATAGGCCCTACATCATCGTATATAAACGTATAGATGTGCATGTGTTTATTCATTCAACATTGAATATGTACTCTTATAGGCTTAATATAGGCCCTACATCATCGTATATAAACGTATAGATGTGCATGTGTTTATTCATTCAACATTGAATATGTACTCTTATAGAATAATATCAAATAAGTGCTGTTGCGTTTATTCAAGACCAGTATTTAGCAATAAAAAATTATGTTTTGGTACGGCGCTTACTGTTTTTGAGTGTGGTGGCGACAATATTCGGGAGCAGCAGGGTCATTCTGTGTCAAATCAACCAATGGGGTTACGGGTCACCTCTTGGATTTTGCTGAAAATATTTTATAAGGTTGGTCTATCTATATATAATGAACACATGGAAAAAAATAAATTCTCAAATCCAAGTCATTTCCAAGTCATTTTCTGAGTGGCCAATCAAAGTTAGTACTAAAATGTTTCGCGTTTTGGAATGACCTTTACAGTGCTTTTAAATTAAGATACAAATCTGAAAGTTGCTATACGTAGTCAGTTTTACCCAAGGAACTCAGATCTGGCAAAACAAAAAAACTTATCTCATCTCCTTTTTTCTCTATGAACTACTGAAAATGACAATTTGTTCTGCCGGTCGATCTCGATACTCATTTAGAAGTTCATCGAAACCTTTTTTTTGGAAAGGTACTAATAAATGAGTATAAGCATCACCTAAGAGTCTATACAAACGTGTCTTGAACATTTCTCCATATCCTTTTGGAACCAACTCTTTAACTTGCTCTATAATTGGTAATATTGTTTTCTCTGGAACTGTAAGAGCCAGTAAAATAACCTCCTGGCTGTGTCTTGTGATAGTTTCAAGATAGAGATAAAAGTCAAACGCAGCCCATTTTTCCATTTGGAAATTATGAAGTGAATTGCATATAGAGCGTAAAGCACATAGCGCATTTGTAATCACCTCTGTAGTTTGAGGGTGATTCATGAGTCTCATGCTGTTTTATGAACTTTTTTTTCTCTGCCCCATACTTCTGTACTACCAATATATCTGTCTCTTATAC